CAATACTTTTTTTTCTTTTATTATAAAATATACTTTCAATAACTTGCCTCACATACTTTAGTTTTTGTTTCTCTAACTTTAAACATTCACAAATAGATTTAAAGCCTTGTTCAACCATGGGCTTTCCATCCAATCCAATGAAAATAAAATACAAAAATATGTTGAACTAATTCCAATTCAATTCCAAATGTTATGCCTTCAATTTCTTTCTCCTTGCCTCAACATTTGAATATTGGTGAAATAAAAACAGTATAAGTCCACAGTTTAGGACATGGGTGACTGACCTGGCAGTGCAGAGGTGCAGGTGAGCTCGCTGGGTAGCTGGAACTGTGTTGGGTTTCTTTCCATGGCTGCTGCTATTAGCAGCTGAAAGGGCCTCTTGAGGAGGCGTGGAGTTGGAGTCGATAGCGTAGCACCCTCGTGCTCTGAGCCCTGAACTTCATCCTCAGGCTCTCCTGCCTCCTCCTCCCCGTCGTTCTGCTCCTCCGACGGGGTCGGGGTCGACGAAGTGTTCGAGGTGGGCGTTCCCGGCCGACTGCTTGGCCTGCTGCTGGTCCTGCGCTCCAAGAGGCGTACCTGGGCCACTCGTAGACCGGGCCCCGCCGCCCCAGCCCCCGGTGGCAGGCCGTCGAGCCGCAGTGGGCCGGCGTTGATCTCCAGCTCCACGGTCGGGGACAAAGAGCGCTTGGATGAGGACTTCTCCGGTAGGCCATTGGTCTGTTCCGACTTCTGCTCTCGCTTCTGCAAAAACACAGAACAAATGACAGATTTATCAGTCTACCCAGATTAAAACATATACTTTCTTCACAATTTGTCAGTAACACTGGAGGAGGATTGGGTGTGTAATATAGTGTTGCAGTGATGTTCTGTTTTTGAAGCCATTGTAACATTGACTTTAAGACGAGGAAACCCGGAAGTGCTAAAATGCCAACTCATTTTCAGGTTTAGGACACATTCCTGCACCTCTCTATAGAACAAACCTGCCACTCACCTTTTTTCGAACATTGCAGCGGTGACACATCCATTCTCCTGGGGGAAGCATTTCTTCACTTAGAGGTGGGTTGCTGTGGTAAGTAGATAAAACATGATAATTAAGGATCATAATGAATGCAGGCAAATTAATTAACATTATCAATTAATATCCATGTATGCAGACATGATAGTGTCACAATTATGTTCAGTGACTTTATAGGAATGCACACTAAATCTCTGAACCGCTAAAACCACAAGCCGGAAACATCTTTCTTGTCAGTGTCATGCCTAGACCGACAAAGGATTTAAAAAATGCTGTCATGGTAAAAGTGCCAAATGTTACAAGTGAAGTGAAGGGAAGGAGGGCACTGTGCTGATTGATTAATAACAAGGAGTAATCTGAGGCCAATACTATAATCTACAGCCTAGAAGGTCCCAATTGAAGGAAAATGTATCAAAAGTTACCTTGTGCAATACAAATCTAACGATAATACACAATACAAGCAATGTGCAGGGGTATGGGACAACTACTACTACTTCCCATTCACAGACCTGACCATATATGGATAAAACATTGCAGTTTGGTCGTTTCGAAGTGGCAGTCTGAGCTCAACTCTTCCAAATGCCAGAGTTAAAATAATCATGCAAGCAGATGTTTAACGGGGAGCGAAGCACAGCCGAACGGTGAAATGCTACCATGGACTTTGTTACATGTCCACAACAACACTGCATTGAAGCTAACACCATCTCAGAAAATGGCATAAATTCCCTCTGTGTTTTTATCAACCCTTTTCTCTCAAAGCTGAATTATAAAAAGGTTTGTAAGATGGCGGTGGAATCGAAAAAAAGAGCAGGGAGGTCGCCATATTGTAAACAGAAGCAGCTTCGACTCCATTTTTAGCAGCAGCGGCTCCACTGGCTGCAGCCACGACAGGAGGGGAGGACCGACTGCCAGTTTAATCTGGCCACTTTCACAAACACACTCCTTTCTTTGAACACGTCTTCTCATTGACAATAACGACAAAAATGATGCTTTCAATATACTATGCGACTAAACGCTCCACCACATCTTAGAACGGACACACCATATCTAACGGTACACGTTGTTATTTTTTAGGTATTCGGCATGTTGTAACCTTAAGAGACGTTCAAATGTACTTAAAAATGCTGCTGAATTTAGTTTACTGATCAATTCTCGCAGAAACACAGTGAATAGAATTGCACTTACAAAGGGCTACATACAGCTCGCTACCGCCTTCCTCGGTTCAGTTGACTGGGAGTGTACAGTGAGAATATGGGGGGACTACCATGAAACAACAGTGGATATGTGCAGAACAATAACGCCAGGTAAAATCTCTTCAAGGCCAGATATTCAATCACAAGTGAAGAGTATCACAGTCATGATTCGGAAGCACCGCCCGCTGAAGTTAGCTTCGGCATCTAAGTTTTGCATGCAGCTAACGCAGCTACACAGTTGCAATGCCTTCACTGTTATACACTAATGCACATGCATTACGTGTCCCTTTGCATAATTAACTGTAACCTACCAGCACTGGAGGTGGAAGGCTGCAGGGCAGTGGTCACAGCACAGCAAGTCGCCCCCTTCCCGGCAGCTGTCGCAGGTGTCGTGGTTGGTAGCCCTGCCACTCCTCCGGACGTCTCTCACCAACTTCCGACTCCTCTTCTCTACCTCCTCGGACTTCGGGGGCGCCAGCAGTGTTTGGATTTGCTGTAAAAGTTGTTCAACTCTTTAGTATAAAATCACGGCTTCAAGACCAAATGCTTGTCTAAAGAGTGTCAAAATATGCAGCTTTGGGCGATAGCATGCTAAGCTTGGGGAGAGCGGTAACGTTAACTAGTGGCCTCCATTATCAACCCCAGCTATTGAGTTGTTAGCTGAACGAAGAAATGCTTGACAGCAGGCTATGGTGATCTGGTGATAATGAAAGTTAACATGAAAGAAAATACCTGAAAGCATTAGAAATAAAAAGGAATATGTATCTCTATTAGGCCTTTGAGCATGTAAACCTCACCTCCATTAAGCCCCCAGAGGTATCCAAATCGTACACAATCGTCGGGGTCTCCATTTTGTCCCACATTCATCCAGGTGCAGACGTTGCAAAAATATATTTGCGATAAAAAGGCCTACCGAGCACACAACAATGAGACTAAATCCCGCAGTAAACGTCTTTTCCAAATGTTTTAGATCAGAGGATTGCTAGCCAAACGATGCTTGCTATCGTTAGCTTGCTAAGGGAGCTAACTACGAAGAGAAGACGGTAACCAGTCAAGGTTGTGAAGCTAGCGGTCTCACTAGCTTGCGTTGTGGCCAAAAAAAGACAACAAAGTTCACAATAATCGTGTAATTGAAATACTAGCGTCTTAGCACAACGTTTTATGAGCGGCGCCAAACCTGCTCAGTTTTGTATACGAATAGATCGTTGCTGTTAGCTACCAAATCCATCTGCGGCCTAGCTGGCCAGCCATGATTTTTGTTTCTGCTCCTGCGAAAGGGAGCCCTGTAAATCTGCAAACCCCTCCGCTCCCATTGTCAATAGAAGATGGAAACCACAAAATAAATAATGAAATCCGGCGTGCCAAGGTCCAATGCACGTTTTCCGAAAGCGTTCGGAATGTATAATCCTCAGATCAAGTATGTGGAGATGCAAATTTGGTTGATGTTATTGTTGTGAAAAAGGCTGAGCATCTATACTGGCTGCTAGCAACATCCTCTACCAGTTGGCGCAACCGCGAACCGCCGGGAGCGCATGCGCATTGGGGCGGATATAGATAATAGCGGGGATATTATAAACACAAGAAGCGAATACTTTGTGTACACACTGTATCCGGCTGCAACTAATGTACAAGCATTACCATAAGACGCTACTTTGCTACGTGACATTGTTTAGGTCACTATACTGCTGATTCTGAGAGCTAGGCCTACATAAAATGCTTCTTGTTTTAATAGCCACAGTGCTACGGACTTTACTCTTCATCGAAGTCCGCCATTAGCTTTTTCTAAATCAGTAATACAGACGGATGTAAACTGCTGGCTCTACTAGAACTACTACTACTATCGCCTTTAGCTTGCAAATTAACCAAAGTACTGGTACTGAAGTTATACAGCATTACTGTTTAATTGGAATTGCTCATTTTTGTCACAGTAGCCTAGGCCTACTGCTTGTCCTGCTACTGTTAGCACTCATACTGTGTTGCATTAATATTAGTGTTTTACATGCTATTGTTCTATTAAAACTAGCGGTTTCCATTCTGACATATATGTGTTTAACATGAATACTCTTGTGTTGCACATGCTGCATGCATAGGTGTATTCTATTCATGCTAGTTTTATTAGAATGTGTTCATGGGTTCTTTTTTCACTAAGATTTTATTCACTTTTTTTCAGACAATAAACAGCAAGCAACACAACAAACATAAACATTGAGCAGGGTATTTTCACAAGTATATTCCTTTTGAGATATATTTTAACCATGTGGGCAATCTTCCAGTATAAAAGTTGTTTCTTATTCTTAACACAAATGTCAGTCTCTCCATCTCATGAATGTCTTTAAGGATTTCCATCCAATAGCCTACTGTAGGAGGATCGGCTTGTAACCACTTACGAGTGATTGCTTTTTTTCAGTTGCTAACACACAAAAATCTCACATAAAGCTTAATTATTTAAACTCACACTCAAAGAGCAAAACCTCAGCTCAAATCTCCAAAACTCATAACACATGTTCAGCTCTGCACCCAATTAGACATTCAACTTGGCACTTTTTGCAAAACACTGCACACGTTTCTCTAAGTAAGACACAGAATTCTGACAAAGTAGGCTTGTTTGAGACGAGCGAGACCGACGCAGACCTGCGCAATTGCGATCGCCGTCTTGCTAGTGCGTTCTTCTTCTTCTTCTCCTCTTTTTAATGGCGGATCGTAAACAGCTTTTGGTTGCATACCGCCACCTACTGTACACAAGTGTGCATCTTCTTCTTCTTTTCTTTAATGGCGAATCGCTTCCACTTGGAACATATATCGCCACCTACTGTTGAGTTATTACATGTTCATTTTAGATCCTTGTCCTCAGACCAGTGCTTTTGAGGAATTTGAAGATCAGCTTGTTTGCTTAATTTCTTGATTTACTTTCGTATATTGACTTGAAATCCATGTCCTTGACGTTGAGTTGTTCCAGTGCAGTTTTCAGAATGAATCTTTGTCTGTTATAATCCGGGCAGCTAAAAAATACATGATGTATTGTCTCTGATTGTTGGCAACCATCACAATTGCCATTTGGATGTTTTCCAATCAGATGCAGTGATGAGTTTAATCCAGAATGTCCCAATTTTATCCTGCTGTTAATGCTCTGTTCTCTTCTACTACTCCCCCAAGTGCTTCCTGTTCCTACTTCCCTTTGTATCTGATATAAATGTCTTCCTTTGGTGTTACTGTCCCATAGTTTTTGCCATTGTTGCTTGATAACCACTTTTGTAAAAGATTTGACTTCTGCTCTACTGATGGGTATCATAATATCAATCTGGTTTGCTTTCAAACCACATTTTGCCAGTTTATCCACTACTTCATTCCCTCTAATACCCACATGCGCTGGAACCCACACAAATTGAACAACAATTCCCAGATGAACTAACCTAAACATGATGTGTAAAATTTCATTAAAAATATCCTGACGACATTCTGAAGAGAAGTTGTCTATACTCTCCAGTGCTGCACTGGAGTCAGAGCAAATGACCACTCGCATTGGCTGTATTTCCTCTACCCACTGAAGTGCTAGAGAGATAGCCATCATCTCTACTGTATATACTGCAATGTGATCACTTGTACGCTTTCCCACTTTGACTTTTAATTCAGGAACATAAAATGCACAACTAGTT